GGACCAGGGAGGATGATTCAACCACTCAACCTCTAGATGTCGCTGAAAACAACAAATCCTACACACTGTGCCTTTAAATATTTAACAAGTTCAAAACATTTGTGACATATTTTCTCTCGAAAACATGTACTGCAGCTCTCCTCTGACATAAAGCATGTTCAGGTCTAAATACCACACTAATGATAAATAAACACCAACGTAATTTAATAATAATTTAAGCTTAAAAAATCCCTCATGTTTTATATTTGTAACTTATAAGTGTAATCAGAGCCAAGATTAAAAGAAATAGTAAAATTGCAGACAATGACTCTTTATGGTCATCATGGTAACCACCTGTGTCTCACTCCCTGACCACAAAGTTAATAATGTGCACAGTTTTGCAAACTGGGCAGTGGGAAGAAAAAACAAAATGCAATAAAACAATAAYAATAATAACAGGCCGCTCAAAAGATGGCCTCACAGCTGGTTCAAACTCAGTGAGGCTACAACAAAAAAAAAAAGAACATATTTACTTGTAATTTTGAATCTTCAACAGTGGCAGCCTGGTGAGACACCTGTAAACAWCCTTAAAGCAGACTGATCTCCCAYAGTTAMGCTCCTCACAGACGTAAAGGCTGGTGTAGAGCGACAACCTGTTTCCCACAGTGATAAATGTGTTTATTTATCACTGAGTGTCAAACTGAGGGAAAAATGTGCTTTCCGATTGTCTCAATGTCTCACCACTGACCGAGTGTTTGAAAGTGTTTGTTGATCCAACAGGCCTCTTTCTGATGTCAAAGTACAGCAGATTAAGTAACCAAAGAATAAAAACATCAGAATCCAGACCTGCAGTTCACATGAAGCGTTTGACTCCAACATGTAAAGCTGTTAGAACATTAAATATGTTTGTGTGGTAATGCAAGAGAGGAGCTCAGTTTGACAATGCTGTGAGGRAAGTCAGTCGTTTTGAACAGAAACCCTCTAGTGATTTAGTACTGCTTCGTTCTTCCACCCTGAGTGTAAAACAAAACAAAAAAAATAGTGTTCCACATGATGAATGATACGTTCAAACATGATAAATACTAAAACACCGTAATGCTTTAACGTAAAAAAATAAATCACATTCATTTACCAAGAAGTTCAAGTCAGCACTGTGAGATGTAAGCGACATGTCAGTCAGCTGGCCTAACAATAAGAACTGGCAAATACAAAGCTCTACTGGGGTCTGACTGGCTCCTCTATAATCGTGCAACACTTCAGGCAGATTAACTGCATCACAAACATTCAAAAACAAAAMCTTTCCAGGGAATCCCTTACACTTCAGTGGTTAGTTCTGTTTGGACCCATCTGAGGATAGACTGGAYGAGGATTAGAAAGGCCTATAGTTCCAGAAGCTGGAGAAGACCGATATCTGCAGGGGAAGGAGGAAAGAAGTTAATTTATAAACACTTGAATACCACAAATGGTCCTGATCCAGGCGTAAATGAGGGAGGGGGTGGCGGTACTTCTTTCAAGACTGTTCAAGTGAACCTACTTTCAAAATGGATTTTATGATCGTAAATTTACTCTGGATGTCAAAATGTCAGTGATATGTGCTGTTTAAAACGTTTACACTAAAACAGGAAAACTCCCACCTTGTCCTTGAGTTGCTGACAGAGCTGCAGGGAGATGGTGAAGAAGACCAGCGTGTCGTTGAGCCACGGCACAACGCACTCCACTTTGTGAACGTGACTCACCTCAAAGCGGTTGGTGTTCAGCTCACTGTGGGCAAAAACAAAGCGTAGTTAGGCATAATGAGGACATACAGATTGCAATGGAGGTTTAAAAGTCAATTATTTGATGGATTATTTGTAAATGTTTCCTATTGGTGTATTTCTACAGTAGATGCAGAGGGCTGATTTAATAAACTTGTTTTTGAGTTGAAAATGGAAAAAAAATGAAAGACTTTGTATTCCTTGAAGAAAAGCATAATGGTGCGTTCACACCAAACGTGATTTCAGCATCAGGAGCATCAGGTTTACATGCAAAGTCTATGGTGGACGTGCTTCAATCAGCGTCGAGAAGTGCTGCGGCACCTCAAGCGCGATTAGAGCAGCGCGATTTGAACGATTTGAACGATCTGAGCGTTCGACGCGCTG